GGCAGTCAAAATCAATGATAAAAAGGCATACTACTTAAGTAGTCATTTTTTAAAATAGATAAGTTTTGCTAGGAGTCGGAACGAAGCTCGTTTCAATAGATACGTTTTGCTAGTGGTCAGAACGAAGCTCGTTTAAAAACCAACAACCTATACTGACTGAAATGACTTCAGAATAGACTACACGATAATCAGTATCACAAATCCTGACTGAAATGACTTCAGAATAGACTACACGATAATCAGTATCACAACTGGGCGTTTTGCTAGGAGTCGAAACGAAGCTCGTTAAAAAGCCGGCATCCTATCCTGGGTTTTGCTAGTGGTCAGAACGAAGCTCATTAAAAAGCCCGCATCCTATCATGGGGAGTCGAAACGAAGCTCGTTAAAAAGCCGGCTTCCTATCCTGACTGAAATGACCATCAGTATCACAACTGGAGTCAATTCCGATTAGCGAAAGATTATTAAGTCTTTCGCATATGTCGAAATATTGCATGATCAACGGCGTCTACTGTATATGCCTATCAGCCACTACATATTACCTATCAAAAACCGACAAGACAGTGAGCCCGTAGCGCAGTGGTTAGAGCGCTGGATTTCTAACCAACAAGGTCGCGGGTTCGAAACTCTAGCGGAGCACCAATTTCTGAGGCAAAACTTGGGGCCGGGTATGACTAGCTGACAATGGTTAATAAGGCAGACAAGCTGACAAGGCCATCCTAGTCTCCCTTGTCTTTGTCTTTCTGCCTATAGCATTAGCCGTCTTGCGGCGTAGGCTCGAGTATGAGCTCCAAAGGCACCATGGACGGACGAGTGTGTCCTCTACCTGGTTGATGTACGCCTACTTGCAACATCATCTCATATGGTTTTCTAGCCACTGTTTGAACACAGACGTCCCCACAGTTTACTGGGGAGTACTTCTAATATTATTTTATTAAATAATATTAAAGTTAAATAAGGTGCATAAAATTTTCGAATGCTGGCTGAAATCTTTCACTAAGTTTCCAAGACAATTTTACTTGTGTGCGTTGGTATGGAAAACAAACTCAAATAAATCAATGTACGGCAGTAAGCTGTTCTTCAAGTACATACATACGCTCTGATCTGCCTAGTAAGTTTGTTTGAGAAAAAACCGCTACATAGATAGTACTTAGTAAATTATACTTATAAGCTATGCTTATACAATTTTAACAATGTCACCTTAGCCCGATTGCACAAGATCGCGCATTTTTTTTCAAAATTAGAAAATAAAATACCAATTTAGTCCACTTTTAAAATTTTGTGGAAAGACATGGGAAAAGGAAACCCGCCTAGTTCGGTGTGTCTACGACAAGTTCTTGGGGACTAGGGTTAGTGTACAGGTTTGGAGAGGATTGGGGTCGATGTCAGGCATTTATGGAGGGTAGAGTTAAGTTTAGGGTTAGAGTTAGGAGTAAAGTTTGAGTAAGGATTGGCGTTAGGGCTAGCAGTCGATAATATTATACATGAGGGCGCGCGGATTGCCAGGGGCTCCTATTCCTTCCGTTTACCGATTTTGTAACTACTGATGAATTTCAAAAAATCAGAAATCTACGTTTTTAGCACAGCTTCGGCAAATATACTTAATTTGCAAGATTACCTTTTCAGATGAATAATGAGGTACTTAGGCAGGCGCCAGATGTCAAAGGTCTTGATAGCGTCTCTGGGTACCTTGCAGCCAGGACACATCCAGCGGCTGGAACCGGAAAGCGCTTCGGTTTTGAAAAATTGACGAATGCAAGATTGCTGGGCGGGGCCAAAAAAAACAAATTAATAATAGAAACGGTCGCATACTAATCCGAACTTTAGATTAGACGTATGTTACACAAAGCACGCGAACACGGATTATTGTCCACAATGATCACAATTCTACTGAACGCTTTACCGTCCTCTATTCAATTACCTGAGCCTCGCGTTTCTAAACCATTCAGAATTCTACTGGCGTAATCTTTCTTAATTGAAAAGGCATTTCAGAAGTTCGCTTAACACTTCAAAAAAATGGCAGAGGTTTCATTGGTAGTGGTCGAACTTTACTAGACACTTAAAGGCCTACTCAATGCATTTCAGTAGGCGTAGTTTCTATTTTCTCAGAGGTTTGCAGTGCTGTAGTCCTGTTGATTTGGAACCTGAGTGGCTTGGCAAGGCTGCTACAAAATCCTCGTCTATCGTTTCATTTACAGCTGCTGAAATTGTACATACACATATCTTAGCTCAGAGAGTTAAGTGATAGACGGGTTGCTTCAATTTAGCTACCGTTCAACATCCTTGCCCACCTTTTTAATTCATGAAATGCGACAGTTGCGGAAACGATACATACACATACCTTAGCTGAGGGAGTTAGAAATGATATACGGGTTGCTTCAATTTAGCCCTCAAGTATACAGGTCACAACAAAGTCGGTGTTTACAGCAGCCAGTCACAGGAATTTTAGAATTATAATAGTATACATTACATATGACTTTTTTTATACATTTGCACGGTAATATTTTTACTAGATTTTTCTATTATTTATAATAAACGCTTAATATTACAAAAAGTCTTTAAAAAGTGCATTACTACTGGGTTTTGGAAAAAAGGGGTGTTTTCTTAGGAAGCAAGGTACCTCCTGTCCGAGTGAAAAATAAACTCAACATTTCGAGGTTTGCCGAGCTCGACTAAAGCTCGATTTGTTTTTCGCACCTTTTTTTCGATTTACGTGCCCAACGCCGTCGCTATATAGTCGCCGCAAAATTTTACGACTCTTGTACTTATTTATACTAAGTTCCTTTTTCCTCTACCCCTTTTCCCCATCCATAAAACCCCCATTCCTACAGTTCCTGTAAACCAGAAACCTCAGGCTTCTAGCATACAAGACCGCTACTAACCATACTTCTGCCCAAAAAGTCACTCACGGACTGTATGCGATTTAGTACACATTTCATTAAATGTCTCAAGGTACTACATTACAGAAACCCTGTAAGTGGGATCGAAGAACAGATGTGTGGTGGGTTACCTAAAAACTAAGCATAAACACTGTTTGTTAAAAGTCAATACCTCGAGTATGCAAAAGGTCTGCCGATGTAGCGTTTGTCCAAAAGGCAGTAGAAACCGTTTTATGTATAAGTACTAGGAAGGGGAAGAAATAACCGTTTGACCGGCGATTAAAATGAACTCACCAATTCCAGCATGCTGGTGGCCTCCACAGACACTGAGAGGTACATAAACTCGTCAAAGGTATGAGAGGAACGTTGGCAGGTCTTGCATTTTACCGTCGATCGAAGTTGACCCTGTCAAGGAAAAAAGGCGAATGAAACGTACCCCGTTTTTAGCCTTCATTTACATGTGTGGGAGCGCTCGAATGTCGATATTAAGGTAACAGTTTTGGCAGTATTAAAAATGAAATCTCCAGTCACTAATCCAAATATCTAGGCTGAAACAAAACCGATACACTTTTGGTGATGGTCAGAGCCAAGCTAGTTTAGTCTGTGGTCCATCGTTTCGGATTCCATCGCGGACCCATCATCAGAGACAGTAGCACATGATGATGATGATGATGTTGGACAAGCTTCTAGTCTTTTCTGGCGTAAGTCATATCGGGCGAAAAACTGCAGCAGATAGTCCTCTATGCGAATAGGCTAGCAGCTTAAAACCAAACATAATTACGCTGTCTTCCAGGTGACATTGCGAGTGTTGATACTTCTCTAACAAATGTCGTTGTCTTCCAACGCTTCCGCTTATCCCACAAAAAATGCAAAAAATATTTAACATGATCTTGCACTCACGTTGAACCAATCAAGTATCTCCGAGTCATCCACTGCGCGGTTCCGCTCCCAAGATTCCTTCGCCAGCTCTTTGGAGTCGATGTTGGCATTTGAAGTCGACCGGGCCGGAGGCATTTTGGTTGACTGAATAGGGGATAGACGTTTTTTTTAGTTAGTCCATGAAACTACACTAGGGTAGGGGAGGTCCTTGTTCAAACTATATTCTGCCCCTTCTTTGCACCGAGGAGAATAGATGCAGTCGAAGCCGTCTAAAGCGGCCTAGCTGTAAATTATCGTGGCTATAAAGAGAAAGTAATGTGACGAGACGACTTGCGAACTTATTCCCTAGTGTAAGGTCTCTTAAAAAGTGGCTTTTCTGTTGCAGTACACTAAACTTGA